ATAACCATCTAGAACCTTTATGATTTATGACAACTCGACGCTGTCTTGTATTGCTTGAGTTAAATTAATTGAATTTGTTGAGTTTATAGAGCAAATTTTATTGTAATAAAAAAATATCAACTGCAAATCAGTCTATGAAAGAAACAAATAATGTTGGTATGTATGTTGGTATACCTCTTTAATAGATATAATTATATATATATGTATATAATTATATTTATTAAACTCAACAAATTCAATGAATTTAACTCAAGCAATACAAGACAGCATCGTGTTGTCATGAATCATAAAGGTTCTAGATGGTTATGTATATCTCATTTTTCGGTTCTAGTGAAACTAACTCGAACTTGAATTATCGTAAACACCCATTTAGTCTCTTAGGTAGTTTTCCACCAAGAGACACAAGCGACACAAAATCATACAGTGTTCGACATAATGTTTTCTTACAACGACACAGCTCGACACAAATATACACAGCTAAAGAGGTGAGTCAAAGTGATTTGTGTTCAATTCATGGCTGCCAATATTTGACAAACTTAGAGAAATTTCAAGTTGTAAAAATTGAAACACTGCATGTATGTAGGTAAAGACAACAAGAAATGAAATTTCTTCTGTAATCGCAGAAAATATTCAGTGTACATTTATTTGAGTCATAAACCACTTGATTCATTCAAACTACTATTTGAAGAAGTAAAACTAATAATTAAATTAGATTTTTCCATTAATCGACAAATAAATATATTATTGTTATTTATTTGAAAAATTAAAATATTTAATTTACATTTTGTACAAAATAAAAAATAATAAAGATAATGTTTTATTTTGCTCATACTGTGTGTATTGTTTCATAAAAATTATCAAGCACAAAATTAATTTTTGTAAATTATATTTATTATGCAATTAATACACAATTTTTAATTTTTTTTTTCTTTATAATTTTTAAAAACTTTGTTATAAAAAAGCTGTATAAAGAGGTGTAAGAATTAAGTTATACGAGAAAAATCACTATTACTTATATAAAGCGCGAACTACTGGCTGTACTGAGAATTAAATGATGTTCCAACAAGCAGCCTTACACAACTCTCCAGTGTCTGACACTGTGTCTATTTGTGTCTCATTGGTGGAAAACTACCTTATTAGCTTAGAACATATATACTGGAAGGGGCATAGCTGACTTGCCGTTGTCCTCAACCAAGATCTATAGAGAGAAGGTTACTTCAGGAAAACCGGTTGTGGGCGAGGGATGATGAAGTAAGGGGGGAGCTAGAAACAGCTTGATGGCGAGGGGCGATGAAGGAAGGGGAGAGCATGATGATCTCATTGACAAACAGTAGCTGTCTGAGATAGCTTCTGTTTGCCGATGAGATCATCATTGCCCCTCTTGCCGCTCGTCCCTCTCTGCATTTGCCCCTCTTGCCGCTCGTCCTTCTTTGCGCATGAGGTAACCTTCTCTCTACAGGGTGTCTGGCAATAATCGCCCCACCGGTTATATACAGGTAGAGGAGGTCAAATCGAGTAGAAAAGTCCTTTACCATTTTTTGATTTTTGTAATAAGTACTAAGTAATTAACGAAAAAAGATTGGTGAATCCGTGCAAGTAAAGCGCGCGCAGCGAGAAGGACATCCCACTGCTATGCGATCACTAGGCGCGCGATGAAGCGTTGGGAGGAGCGCTCTACAAATGACAATGGCAACATACGAGCGGCGCGTAACGCTAGAT